GATGTCAACTCCAGTGTCGGCGAACATCTCCACTGCTCGATCATAATGCTCCGGTTTAACCAGGAGAACCGACTTGGACGGGTTGAGATGATAGCCGTAGGCAGGACCTTGCTCTGTTAGGCTATGCCACCATGCACGCAAAGGCATCAGCTTGCCACCTGCTCCTGAGTCATCAGCAAACCAGGCTTGCACAGTATTTACAGTAGAGACTGACTGCAGCAAAGGAAGAACACCGAGAGCATAGAGAGGCATTGCAGTCGGGTCCCCCTGCGTGGTACCTTCGGAAGAGAGGATGACTTCTCCACCGACAAAGAGCTGTGCGGGTTGCCTGTAAGTGTTGATGACAACTGGTGACATGGCTGGACAAAGATGTTGGATGTTCTGCAGATATGAGCACGATTCAAGCAATTTTTTTTTTTTTTTTAATTTCGGCCATGGCGCCAGTCGGCTATCATTTTCGATTTCGTCTTGGGGGCTAGACAAGGGGAAGTAGCCATGTCGGGGCGTGAGCCCGCCTTTCGGCACCGGGAGTTGCAGCTCGCTCGACTTGACTCTACTGAGTGCAGAGGACCCACACCTTGATCTGGTGAGCTGCGTCGTGGGGATTTTGCAGTCAGATGTGCGACTGCGGGGCTCGAACCCGCGACCTCTCGGGTCGCGGGTTGAACGCGTTTGAGGCGTCTGCTAGAAGGAGGCCTTCCGTTTCGTCGTCTGCGAAAACTTCTCTCATGGCGGCTTCCACTCCAAACTCGTGACCGGTATATGTGTGAAGCGATTTCACCAACCGAAAATTGGAGATTTGTTTTCAGCGACTTATTCCAAGCGTCATGATAGCGGTTGTTCAGACAACTCTTCAAGGGCTGACGCTGTGTCGATGCCCGATTCTGTCGACTTTGGCGGCGAATTCGCTTCAGGGCAGCCCGAAAGTGTGGACTCTCCGAGAATCTCCGACTCTCAATAACAGTCTGGAACGTCGGGGGAGTTGTCGTCACCCGAGGATGGTCCCGGTTGTCTTGTAGAAGTTGATTCTCCGGAACCTGCAGCGCGACATGAAGCCGGTACTCTTCTTTTTTTTCTTTTTCTTTTTATGGATTCCCCAAAGGCCGAGGCCTAAGTCGAGGGGGTCTCCGTTCATGGCTTACTGGGAATATACATGTATCTGCAAAATTATAACAATATCATAGATAGAGAAAAGGGAGGGTTATAACAAATGCGTACTCTAGAAATCAGCCATAACATTCGTTACTATGTTATAGAAACTCTGGAAGGAATGAAACCAGCGGGTTCGAAGCGGGTGTTGGCAAAGATGGTACGGACACGCGACACAAAGCAATGACTATTTTGGGTGGTTCTAATGTCAGTGGGGAGAGAATTCCAGGCTGCATCGGTAACAAAGAGGAAAGTGGCACGCGCCGGTGTTCGCCCTGGCAGGCGGGACAAGTTGGAGAGGGCGCCGCGCGCTGGTGGAGAGAATAGCCCAGCTCCAAAAGGGCAGTTCTTCAGCAACTGGTTGACGATGCCGGCGTTTCGTGAAAGTAATTATTAGTTTGATGATCGGAAAAAGGGAGACGTGCAAGGACAGTGGCTGGTGCGCAGGGCTCGTGGCTGAAGTTGCCAGTTTCCGCTTTGTTCTAGGGAGACGTTTGAGCTACTGCAGCACCATTTCCGACCACCTAGGCCTAGTTTACCAGTCCATGCATACAGCATGGCTTCTTGGCGATGAAAATGCGTGGCCAGCACATGATAAGGCTCAGTTGCTACTGGCCGGAAACCTAGGCCTGGCTGACCGTTTCCAAGTAAATATTAGTTTGTGAGTGATGACTGATGGGTTTTGTTTCACATGTACATGCACATAGTTTGGAGGGTAGAGCAACAAGTTTGGCCATCAACTAGGTCAGCAGTTTTCTAGTCGCCAGCAACTAATAAACCACGCCGTGACGGAGCATCATGCTTCCAAATATTGTGTGAACACCACACGTGCACGGCTCACACCACTCTGAACAGTGGTATCATGTATTTGTTGCAAATGCTGCATACATGATTACCAGTCCTGTATATGTACTTTACTCAATCTGCGGGCGGAACTGTTTCGTCCATTGTGGACTCGTATTCGTAAGCGTTGCTAGCACCGAGGCTGAAACAGTGTACTAACTAACTTTTGCTATCAATTCAGGGGCGTAGCACCCGCTACGACTGGTACGACCATGGCCGTACCACTTTTCGAAAAGTGTGGTCCGTCCGGAACGTGCAAAAAAAAAAAAAAAAATTCACGGTTCGCGTGAGACTCGGCCAAAGGCCCAGTTTTCCGCATCCGCAGGAACGCCACCACCCTCTTGGATCAAGGCGCAGATGCAGCTCCTAAGCGGTGGGAGATGAGTAGATCAGACCCACCACAAAGTGGTCAAAGACCGAAATCCCATTCACTGCATCCATGTTTCCCTCGTGCCAGGCCACGAGTTCCCAATTAACTGTGGGTCGCAGCACGGCTGGAAAAAATCCTTCCGCTTCCAAGCAGGACTTGAACCTGGTACCCTCTGTTTCTCAATCATGGTCTGCCTGCGTGCAAAACCGTAATAAAAATTCAGGATCCATCGATGCATATGCGCATCAGATTTTGACCTTTTTCTAGACTCGTACTCGTAGATCTGCCATGCATCTGTGCATGTCCATGCACGTCTCTTCTGCCCGTGAAATAACTCTATGACTTATAAACTGTGCCAGAAGTGTGCCAGAAGTTCCCAGAACACAGGATTTTGTGTCTTTTTTACAAAATTTCCCGGGGGAGGTCCCCCCGACCCCCCTCCAAACGGCCTTCGGCCGCGCCGACCTTTGGTCGTACCACTTCCAAAACCCCTCCTACGCCACTGCAATTACACGCTTCTGCATTGCATATTGCAACTGCCAGCAATTTCGCCTAGCCTCTAGTGGAATAACATGTGTTATCACTCCCTTAGTATTGACTCACATAGATTTTTGCCATACCTAAGCAGTCAAATATTCCTGCATATTTCACTCCTTAGGGCTATATTGACCGCTTTTATTTGACTCCTTTTTAGCGATTGAACGCATGCTTTGGTCAGTCGTGATAAATCTAATATTGACTTCGTACTTAGTCAGTATAGGAAATAAAAGACCTCGTAAAAGACCTCGGCTTCGCCTCGGTCTTTTACTCGGCTTCTATTTCCTATATTGACCTCGTACTCAGTCAATATTAGATACCTATCTGTATCAAGGACCTTAGATACAGCTAGACTACAATAGTCGACTTGGTTGGCCAAAGATATCCAGTATCCATACAAATATTACGGAGGATTAGCAAGACGAAATTCGCGTTCGCGTTCGCAAACTTTTTTCAGTTCGCGAACTGGATTGCGAACTTTCGCATTTTTCGTTCGGAAAAGTAGTCGGAACACGAATCGTGGATTCGTGTCAGGGCAGTCATAAATTTACCACGCTGTACTGCCTACGTCGTGTCAACATCATGTGCGAATTCTGTTTGCTAATCCTTCTCATAACGCGAATTCCGTCACTGAGTTCGACTTTCTTTGGAGAGCGAACGCGAACGCGAATTTCGTCTTGCTGCCCGAGCTACGCTACTGAGTACTGTACGCACTATTAAAATGATGTAATCCCGGAATTTCGCCGTGACAGGCTGACAGCAACCCATCTGAGCTGCACACTCGTACTCTGGGTTTCATCAAGAGTAGATAAACAAGAGTGTGCAACTCCTACTCTTGGTTTCATGTACTCCTGCATCCTGATGCAATCCAGGAAATTAATTGCCGTCACTCCGCCGCCGCGTTGCTCTGGAGCTGCACTCTTGGTAGGGGTATTTTAAGACTGCAGTAGAGACGCGTGCCCAAGAACGATGTTTCCAAGGGCGCCTGGGACGTTCTTATTTTTCAGCAATGTAACTGTGTTCTTATAGCGTGTTCTTAGGGGCCTATATGTGCAACTCCAGCCCGGGCTGGAGCGAGCGGGCCAGCCCGCCAAGGGTGTTTACATGTGCAAGGCCGGGCTGATCGCCAGCCCGCAGTGAGTTTATATGCGCTGAGCACACGCCAGCCCGTTGTGAGTATGCAGCAAACACACTACGACTGTAGTGTGCTGCCCCGGGCTGAAACGCAGGGCTGCAAGCCATACTCAAAAAAAAACTAAAAACTAAAAACTTTTTTTCTCACACAATGTATTCTTCTGCTAATTTCTATTCGCGCTGTGGCACATGTTTGGTGTGTTGTATCACCTCATTTCTTTTTCCTGTTTTTCACATTTTTAGCCGTCCATATCAAAGTATTTTGCAAGTAGTTCCCCTTCTTTTTTAATGTAAATCCTGCATGTCGACAAATAAACAGTGCTCACTGGACGTCCTTCTTGTTGCTGAACAAAAAGCTTCATAGATTTTCAAGACAATATCGGGAATCCTCTTTAAAACTTCCCTCAAAAGGTAAAAGTACCTATTTTGTAGCATGAATGCAGTGTAGACACCATAATCATACAACTCTGGCCCGGGCTGGTCTGTTTATATGTGCTTTTTCTGGCCCGCCTAGCCGGGATCCCGGGTGGCTCGGGGCGGGATCCCGCCTCGCCGGGCCAGCCCGCTTGCCATGTAAACGCACCACAGGTTTTGTGTGCATTTGTGTATAACCCCGAGATCCCGTTGCAGGCGGGCTGGCCCGCCTGTCGACCAGCCCGGGCTGGAGCTGCACATATAATCACCCCCTAAGAAACAATCCATACTGAATCATAATTATGTATCCCACAAGCTCCCAGAAAACCAACACCGCTGTTCTTAACTTTTAAATAGGCTGTGGCGTTCTTAGTATTTCAGGCTGGACGTTCTTGGGCTCCACGTTATTCAGCGCGCGACTCTACCGTATTGTGCTCAATTAGTGGCGGACCACCCGTCCCGATCCACCGAGCCCATGCCATGGTAAAGTAAAATCCGATTGTTTCCCTGAGGGACACCCCCCCCCCCCCCCACACACTCCTCTGCAGTCCGCTGTACCACTCCACACTGCCTTGTGACGCCCCTGACAATGAATACACCGAGAATAGAAGGTCGGCCAATGGGGGTAAGGCAAAAGGCCTTGTGTAATGTTGCAGAACCCTAGACTGACAGTTTCCAGTGTACGGGAGAATGAATGTATGAACGACGCGCAGAAGAGCACAGCGCGCGCACACACATCGCAGTGTAGCAAGGAGAGAATGAAGAACGAAGAAACGAAACGCAGGAATAAGAATGAAACCTCTCTCTCCTCAAACCGTATGTAGGGACATAGTCATATAGATACCGCTGAACCAAGCATTGCCCAGGAGATCTAGATCTGAACAGCAGCAGCACACAACACACACCCGTTGCGTTCGAATATTGAATTCGAAGGCACAGTTGCCAGGGGAACCATTGCCATAGCCACACACAGAGATGGTCGAGGGAGGGGGCGGGGGAGGGAGGGGAAGGAGGGAAGATTCTCTTACAGCAGCAGCAATCAGCAAACAAAATCAGCCGTCGAAAACACCAATTTCCTCTAAAATCATTGTAAAACATAGCAACATACGGGGTGTGTTAATGAAGCAAACACAGCAGACAAACACAGCAGACATGCACGAAGCGTTGTACTCTGTGTACGGGATAGTAGGCTTTAAACAAGTTGCTCCAAAAGCAACAACAACAACAACAACAGGGACAAAACTAGCACTGACACACCGAGGTGGACACCCTTCTTGGACAAGACTGGTGACATGCACACACACACGCACACACGCACACACACACACACACACACACACACACACACACACACACACACACACGATAGCCAAGCAAACGGAGAGAGCAGAACCAAGATAAAACTAATGGTAGATAAATAATACTATTAAAAAAGGCAGTGTGATTGAATGTTGCATTGATCAGGGGAATCTGTCAGTTCCACTCGGGCCGGCCAGTCTCTCTTCCACCTCCCCATCATGACGCGAATAGTGAAGTGCAAGTGTCGACAAAGCAATGTGTTCTCGTGGGCCGCGTACGAAAACGTCGCCATGTCACAGCCCGCCCCACATGCGGCAATACCCGCAAGCGCTCGAGCGGATGTGCGGATGTGGAAACCATCTTGATTGCCGGCTTGCTTTTCCAGCAGCAGGAGTACTTATTCTCACAACGTTACGCACAACACAGCAGCTCGCGATGCTCCGCTATCACAACACTGTCAGGAGACTGGCAGGCACCGTCTGGCCAGAGATGACCCGCGCCACCATGCCGGCTGAGCACCAAACGTTCAGCAGTAACTTGTCAAGCCAGCCCCAGGCAGTTGTGCATTGCTTGTCAACTCAACTGGGTCCACTTCGGTGTGTCGGCCTGCCTGCGTGCACACAACGGCTAAGGAACCTTATCCGAGAGCAAAAAGAAAATATTTTATTCGGTCTGAAGTGTAACTATAGTAACCGGACCACGGGGTGCGACGCACAATTGTAAACAAGAGGTCCAGGTCGAGAGATCGTCATGGCATCTGCATAACACAGTTCACTGCACGTGCCCTGCTTACGTCCACTCAAAGTCATCCTGCGGTGCTTTGTGGCGCAAGGAGTTCTTGCGCGGCTGTCCAAAGCCGGCGACGAAGTTGAGACTGCTTTCCTGGGACGGGGGCGGTTCTTGGATCATCGGCACCGCTTGGGGCGGAGCTTGGGTGGCGTTGCCTCCCTGCGTACTGACCGTAGAGTACTGGGTCTGAAGATGCGATCGCCTTATCGACGTCTGGTGTACCTGCGGCTGCACCGGTTCCAGCTCAAACGCTTCATAGCTTATTTGGCCGTCTTCTCCGGCCGGCGGTGGCGGTGGCAGGTCTTCCATGAGGTGCACTCCGGCATCATAGCTCACTCTGGCCGCGGCAGGACGGTGCTCTGGCACAGGTGGGGCAGGCATGGCCGACTCCGGCGCTTGGTCGTCACCCCAACCGCAGGCGACCACGGGAGACATGTAAGTCGAGCTCAACGCCGCCGCATTGCTTGCGTCTTCGGGCCAGTCACTGGTATGCAGTGACGTGTCGTAGCTTACATCAGTGTGCATGTGTTCGGCGCCAGGAGGAATGTTGACAAACTGGACATTACCGGCACTGCCAGCGCCTTGCTGGAGGTTCATGTCTTGCTGGGGGTGTCGGTTAGCAGCTTGCTGCGGATTCATGCCGTGTTGGGGCGCGCGCTGTTGCCGGTTAACGGACTGCTGCGGGTGCATGCCATGCTGGGAGGCACGCTGCTGCCCGTTGGGAATTTGCTGCGGGTGCATTCCACGCTGGGACTGCTGCGGGTGCATTCCGCGCTGGGACTGCTGCGGGTGCATTCCACGCTGGGACTGCTGCGGGTGCATTCCACGCTGGGACTGCTGCGGGTGCATTCCGCGCTGGGGCTGCTGCGGGTGCATTCCGCGCTGGGACTGCTGTGGGTGCATGACGCGCTGAGCCTGCTGCTGGGTCACGCCATGCTGGGACTGTTTTCGATTCATGCCGTGTTGTGACTGCTGTCTGTTCATACCGTGCTGTAACTGCTGTCGGTTCATACCATTCTGGATCTGCTGTTGGCTCACACCGTGCTGGGACTGTTTCCGGTTCATGCCGTGCTGCGACTGCTGTCTGCTCATTACATTCAGGGGCTGCTGTTGGTTCATAATATTCTGGAGCTGCTGCGGATTCGCACCGTGCTGGGAGCGCCTCCGGTTGATAGACATCTGCGGACCGATGCCGGGCGGTGGCTGCTGCGGATTCTGGGGCTGCTGTGGGTTTGCGCCGTGCTGGGAACGCTTCCTATTCACAGACTTGACAGGTTGCTGCGGCTGAAACTGCTGCTGGGGAATGAATGTGCCGGGATGCACTGCCAGGGTCGGTCCGTCCATGGGCATATCCATATCCGGGCCGTTTCCGAGGTCCACTGATGACATCACGGAGACGCGGCGAATGCTGTTAGGGTCCGCAATTGATATATTGTCCATGTCATCCTCGCAAGGCATTGTGTCGGAGTGCTCCAGCTGGGCACCTCCTGATAGTGCTGTCACGGCGGAGTTCTGCTTGCGCTGGTTGGCGCGCTGCTGGTTCTTGTTGCTTCGCTGACTGGAGCGACCCTTGCGACTGGCACGAGAGTTGTTGCTGCTGGGCATCTCGATCTTCTCATCCCAGGTGTTATACGAAGTGTACCCCTCGTCCTTGGAGTCTCCCGACTCTACTGCTGGCGCCTGTGGCTCCTGGCGTAGCTCTATGGCTGGACAGTGTCACACCAGAATACACAACAACAACGACAACAACGACAACAACGACAACAACAACAACAACAACAACAACAACAACAACAACAACAACAACAACAACAACAACAACAACAACAACAACAACAACAACAACAACAACAACAACAACAACAACAACAACAACAACACCAATACAGGCCATCGTGAGAATAAAGATTTGAAACAACGACGATGAGAGGCAGTAGCTGCAGTAGCAACAACAACAAAAACCACAACAAGCGTGCAACCTTCGTATAATTTACGTCGCTCTCGTACTTGGCACTTGCTAACTCCGCGGGCTGATCGCTGTCTCCATTCTCCCCTATACAAGGCCCTTCATTACTTAAAATTGCTTGCCCATCCAACAACAACAACAACAACAACGCCAACACACACCTACATCGTGCCTGGACCTGGCCATCTCTAGCCTCAGCCGCCATAACATCACCATCACAAGCCTGCCCCCTATGGGTGCCTCTGATCATGTTGTCATACAAGGCAACATACGACCCCAGCAGCACACCACCCACAGAAACAATAATACAAATAATAATAAAAATGAGAGCAGTACTACACAGCAAAGCACCTCCAGCACATACTGGTTGTGGAGCGAGGAACGCATTGCGTCCCTGCGTGAAGCTCTTGCTACCTGCAATCTGCAGTACGATCCACATCCCACTGACCCTCAGCCAGTAACCTCATTCTGGAACTTCTGGAGAGACCAGATACTGAAACTAGCCGTGCACCACTGCCAAGTGACCAGAAGCAAGTCCCGCAAAAATTCTACGCCCACTCGTCCCTGGATGACGAAGGATCTCCTCAGCCAGATCAAAACAAAGCACAAACAGTTCCGCACCTACAAGGCGACCCAACTAGACTCAGATTGGAAACTGTACACAGCCCAGCGTAACCGAGTAACCGCTCTTTTGCGACAGGCTAAGTCCGACTTTGTCCAGCAAACAACGTCAACGGGTACAAACCTCCACCGTCTACTGAAGCACCTGAAAAAACCGCCTAAGCAAACAATTCCCACACTATCGACAGCCAACTCCACTGCAGCCACGGCTATGGAGAAGGCAACAGCTCTCAACAAGTTCTTTATCTCCCAAAGCCAACAGTCCATCGACAAGACCACCTGTACTACACCAGACATCAACACTACCCCTGACATCAGTCATACTCTAAATACAATCGCAGCAACAGTGGAAGAGGTCGAGAAGCTTCTATGCAGTCTAGACACTGGCAAGAGCCCAGGCTTTGACAACATCCCAACTCGGCTCCTGAAAGAAACTGCAAAGGAAATCTCCCCATCTCTCACTAGTCTCTACAATCTGTCCTTCAGAACCGGAGAAATACCACAGGATTGGAAAGACGCAACTATTACACCCATCCCCAAGTCGGGCAACCCCTCCCATCCTACCAACTACCGACCCATCTCCCTGCTCAGTATAATATCAAAAACACAAGAAAAAATAGTCCACTCTCGTCTGTACAATCACATAGCACCGCACTTACCCTCCAACCAATCCGGCTTCAGGAAACAAGACGGGACCGAACTGCAACTCGCACGGATCGTCCACCAGATATCCACAGCTAGGGATGCGGGGAAGCATGTTGTAACGTGTTTCTTCGATCTCAGTAAAGCCTTTGATCGTGTATGGCATCAAGGCTTGCTGAAAAAGCTGAGCCACTATGGTGTCGACGGCAAGGCTCACAATTGGCTCGAAGCCTACTTGACAGGACGCAGACAGCGGGTGCAGGTTGAAGGCACAACATCCGTCTTTATACCAATACCAGCAGGAGTGCCCCAGGGCTCGGTCCTGGGACCACTTCTGTTCCTGGCATACACCATTGACCTGCCCACTGCCTGTGAAAATGCTACAACCTCGTGTAGCCAGTTCGCGGACGACACCGCACTAATTGCCATTGCAGGCAGCTACATTGAGTGTGAGGCTGCGCTACAAAGAAGCGTCGATGCCGCAGCAGAATGGCTAGAGCGCTGGCACCTGCTAGTCAATAAAACGAAAACCGTCATCCTCCCGTTCTACCATGCTAACCGACCCCCACCACGACTACCCGAAATAAAACTTGGCCAAACCCTATTAGAAACAGTAACACAACATCGTCACCTCGGCATCATCTTTCAGCACGACCTAAGATGGTCAGCCCACCTTGACTTTGTGCTGAAGAAAGCCGTAAAATCTTTTAATATTCTCTTTAGGCTCAAATCAACTCTACACACTAAATCACTCTCTCTCATTTACAAAACGTATATCCTGCCTATAATTGAATATGCATGCATTGCTGTCACCCCGCTCTCAATCGCAGCCCTTGACCGTCTTGAGCGAATCCAGCGCAAGGCGGCCAGAATCTGCCTCCGTCTCCCCCTTTACACTCCTCTGGATCATTCAACACTGCTCCATCGGCTCAAATGGCCGACAATGTTCTCTCGCCGCAAAGTGAAGCTCACCCTTCTTGCTCACTCCATAAAATACCAATATGCCCCACAACACATACGCTTGCTCAACACCCTCGCTCAAGTTACGGCCCAGTACAGCCTTCGACACGCACGCACTTGGCACCTCCCACCCTCCAGAACCGATCGCTGTAAAGACTCCCCACTGTACAAGTCCCTAGAATACTACAATGCCCTCCCTGCTAGCATTCGTGACGTCTCCTCCCGACCTGCTTTCAAACAAGAAATCTGCTCACTGCTGATTAACTCAATCTGCTCCTGCAGCGCTCACCTTCTCCCATACTTGTAAAGTTCAAAGTGATGTAAATCACTTTCCAACTGTTTAACCCACAATCTCACCTTCTCATCAATTTATCTCTTTTTGGCGATGGTGCCATCGTGAAAATAAAGAATTCAAAAACAACAACAACTCCATTGCGCCCAGCCTTTATTATGATAAACTCCCTATTGTCATCGCTACTGCTTCAGCAAGCAGCTAAACTTTGATCTCTCTGTATCCGCTCCGTGCGCCTGTAATTATTTTTCTCTTATTGGCCACAGGCCATTGTGAGAATTAAAGATTTCAAACAACAACAACAACAACAACAACAACAACAACAACAACAACAACAACAACAACAACAACAACAGTCCCTAGAATACTACAATGCCCTCCCTGCTAGCATTCGTGACGTCTCCTCCCGACCTGCTTTCAAACAAGAAATCTGCTCACTGCTGATTAACTCAATCTGCTCCTGCAGCGCTCACCCTCTCCCATACTTGTAAAGTTCAAAGTGATGTAAATCACTTTCCAACTGTTTAACCCACAATCTCACCTTCTCATCAATTTATCTCTTATTGGCGATGGTGCCATCGTGAGAATAAAGAATTCAAACAGCACTATCACCCAGTGCAAGCATGTACTGCCACTCGCCAGGCTCACCTCGCACGGCAGCAGAAGACGACAGCAACGACGAGAGCCTACTTGAGGAAGATGGAAATCGCGCCGAACAACTCCTGCAGAAGCTCAATGCAGCAGAGGAAGACTGGAAACTCTACACCGGATGTCGCAGTCGCAGACGCAGACGCCACCAGCTAGAGCAGACGCCCCCAGGCGCACAACAGCCACATACCTCTAAAAACAAAAACAAAATAAGCTAGCTGACCAGAGTCCTACAGGAGTCACCATGGACCACGCCTGAACTGGAACCAGCATCAACCCCAGGCACCTTCAGTGAAAAAATATATATACTTGTAATACTCAATCTGCGGACAGCATGCTGTTTCGTTCTTTTTGAACTCATCAGCGTACTTGTAATATATATGAAAAACGAAAATGAACAAAATAGCATCTCCTTCCTCTCCTTCAACGCTCGCAGTCTCTACCCCAAAATGGATGAACTGTCAGCAATAGTATCGTCAACAACGCCACCTTATGATGTCATTGCTGTCTCTGAAACATGGTGTACCCAGCACGACCCAGAGTCCCTGTTTGCCCTTAGTGGTTACACACTACATCGTGCAGACCGCCCAGACCGCCAAGGTGGAGGAGTGATTCTTTACATGAACGACATTATACCTCATGAACTCGTCCCTACAACAACCCCAGACAGCTTTGACCTATTATCGCTGAAACTGTCAGCCAACGACTGCACCATCAACGCAACATGCATCTACCGACCACACCGTTGCTACCATCGTCTATTCTGTTAGCACCTTGAGGAACTGATCTGAGCCATACCAACAACGCAAAAGATTATCCTCGGTGATTTCAATGCAAAGAACGCCGCTTGGTGCCACTCTGACACGACAGATGCTGTTGGCGAGGATCTAGCAGTGCTGTTCCAAACTTGCTCTCTACACCAACATGTCACATTCCCCACTCTTGTGCAGAATGGGCACCCTAAATCCTGCCTGGATCTCGTCGTCACGGATGTAGACAGCGACTATGTCCTTATCTCTAGTCTCCCGCAGATCGGCAACTCGGACCACCTATCCATCAGGGGTTTAGTCAAGCCAGTCGCTGCATCCCCTCGAGCCGTACCACCTCCCACCCATAACACCACCCATTGGAAATGGCCAAACCAAAGCATCAGCAGTCTGAAAGCCGAAATTGAACGCACACAACTGCTACCGGAAGGTGACACCCTGAACACTACCAACAAAGACAACCTGTGGCACTCATGGAAGGACAAAGTGCTCACTTGCGCCCGCAAACACTGTGCAGTAACTCACTCCCCGAGGCATACTAGCCACCTCGCAAAGCCATGGCTGAACCCATAGCTCACTGACGCCATCAGAGAAAAACACCGGCTCTACCGTGCATACTTGCGCACCCGAACGCCCTGCAACTGGACAGCATACACCACCCAACACAACAAAGTTACTCACCTTCTCCGAATCGCGAAGTCTACATATGAATTTAATGGCACTGGGACGAGCCATTCCACACCAAACCTGCACAAACTGATGCGCGGCCTTCAGTCCTCACAACGACCTACTCTGCCAGACATGCTCTCC